TCATCGGCGTAGCCAGAATGAAATTTAGGGGGGCTCGACCCTATTAAGCTGGCATTTCAGGGTACTATTTTATATACATATATATATGGAAAATTTGAAAGTTAGGGGGGACTCGACCACCCCCTGCCCCTACCTGGCTACGTCCATGTCCATATTTGTTGAAACGTTTAAATGCAAATACGAATGGGTGAAAATTGCGTTCGTGAAGGTACCAAGACTAATAACCTTGTATTTTGCTAAAAATTAATGGTTCTCACTATTTTCTTTAGCTAAATCGTAAAATATACCTGTTTCTTGCGTTTCCATCGTTTTTTGGATTTATTCAACACTTGAACTCAAAATATCGCGAAACTCGAATTGGCTTAATTTAAGCTCACTTATACTAGGTTCACATATAAGTAGATTATCCTCATTTTCGAGCTTAACATCCTAATCTGTAATTATAACAAGAGATTAGCCATATAAAATTCGTCCCTTGTTAATCTGTAATTATAAAATAATCTCAGATTTAACCGATAACTTTTCGGTGCCCATCCTAGTTTTATCGATTGCTTTTGCGAAAAAGAGGAGAAATACCAAATGTAAAAGTAAACAAAAATGTACGCTAGCAAGTAAAATAGGTTTGCAAAGGTATTTTTAATAAAATTTTAAGTTAAAATATATTTATATTGCTTATTATAGCAGAAAAACGTGATCACGGTGGCACAGAGAAGCAACATAACTTTTCTTTGAGATGTGAGAATAACAAGCACAACAAATTTGACGGCTAATAATCTGAGATTTGCCTGTGTAAACGGGGTGATTAAAAAACGAGCTTTGATTGAGATAATATTGATATGTGAACATAGTTTTAGGCTGCGTTTCTCCAAACTCATTAAAGTGGAAATTAACTTTTATTTAATTTATTGTTTAATTCTCATTTAAATTATTGGCCAGCGAAAGCTTTCATTAGTACTGAAAGCTTTCAAAAGCTTTGGCACGCTGTGTTGTAAAAGCAGGGCTGGTTTACAAGTAAGCAGATATACAATGATCAGGTGATTAAACGTGTAACACCTCTGAGTGTGGTTATTCTGATTTAATTTTTATTTAAGTGAAGAGCATAGGTCGCTTGAATCAAAATTAAAAACAAATTAAAATGGATGGGTGAAACCGAAAATTCGAAAATCAAAGTAATTTTCCTTTAAATGAATCTGGTGAAATTTTAAAGAATTCGTAAAGATCTCATCCGATTTTTTGCCGAATTTTTTAAAATAAAATAAACTGTGCACACTTCGTTTCTTTTACGAAATTTCGGAAAAAATTGGTAAAGCAATGAAAATAATGCTGCTATGTGAAGAAATTTTTCAGAATATTTTTCGTACAGAAATTTCTTTGCGAGTTTGTGTCAACCACTTCATATAATTTTCTTTGAAGGTTCGTAAAAAAATCTTTACGGAAATGAAATGCTCCTAAAGATTTCGTTCAGATTTCGGAAACATTGGTTTGCAGGACTGATAAAAAAAAAAAAACCAACAGTGAAAGATTTTCGTTCGATTTTAAAGAAATTTTCTGGAAAATTTTCCAGTAGTCAGATATAAAATTAATAACAATTTGCAAGTTCAATTTTTGATTAAAGAAATACATATCTAGAGTTTTAAGAATCTGGTATGTAAAAAAAAAACTAGGTGGAAACCCGGTTTATTCAAGATTACAAAAATTCTGGCTAAAAATGTTCAAAGAACCAGTTGAAACCGGTTTGGAAAAGCCGAGTCAATCAGACATGCACATGAACAGTAAGTGACGTAAGGCTTAGCGTTCGAACGCCCTCCGGACGAAGTACTTAACGTTGGTACCGGGAGATCGCTACAAAGACAGTAGGGGCTTAGTGGGTTAAAGTCTCGCACTGACGGGGTTGGACTTTCGATGCTTGCTCCTCGAAAAAAGAGAAACGAAGAAATATGAAACTCATTTTATAATTTGATTTCACTTTCCGTCAAATCTTTGGCCCTTGTACGATGCTTATTTGCCCGCATTAAAAAATATTACTTACCAAACCCGATATTCCGCTAAAAAGTAAAATGTTAAATAAAAGACAATATTTGTTTTAAACATTTAATTTTTTTTTTTTATTGATTTCATTGCTGCTGACAGGTGCGCACACATTTTTATAAAATGCATTCTTTTCACTTTTTCAATTTTGTGATGTGTTATTTGTGTTTTCTTCTTCTTCTTTTTATGGTATCTAATTTGTGTTTCTTGAATGAACAACTGACGGTATTTACTGTTTAGTTATTATATCATTCTTACGTATGAATGTATGTATATTTCTTGGTAACATGAAATTTTTTTTATTTTTATTGTAGTTAAATGTAATTATTAGTTTACAGATTTATTTGTTGGGAGATTTTTTGGCATTGTATTTGAATATAGACAACTTTTTATTGGTTACTTAGACTGTTATAAATACATATGTACATATTTATTTACACGGTTGAGAATGGGTGGTATGTATTGCGAGTTTGTTTTGTAGTGGTGGATTTTTTTGTTTTCTTTTATGATTCGCTCGTTTATTATTTATAATGGATTTGTGTGTGTTTGTTTGGTCCTGTTGCTTGAGTTTTGTGAACACTTAAGAAAATTTGGGTGATTTTTTCGTTTTCTGGACAAAAATAATTTTGGTAGTAATTTTGAAACTTTTTTGGGTGATTATTTTTTTTGTAAGTTTTACTGTTGTTTATCTTATTTTTTGTTTGCTCTTTGGTTTTTGTAAGTTTTCGTTGCGCTTTTTTGTGTGTTTTATGTACATATGTTGCCGGCCACACCTGATCTTAGGACAAACTAGTTTTGCCTAGGCTATACTAGATCAGGGGCTACAGTATTTTTGCGCAGAACACCTTCGGCCGCACTAAAAAAAAAAAAAAATAAAAATAACCCTCATCAGTCCAACTCCAGCTACGCAGTCGACAACTTTCTCCGCGTTGGACGGACATATTGGATCTACGCAGAACTAGTTTAGCCGAGGAAAAACTAGTTTGAACTAAGATCGGGCTTGGCCGATAACATATACATACTTTCATTTTAATTAAAATAGCTGTGTGCTTATATTAGAAGTAGTTATAACTACTATTTTGATTTTTATTTTTAATTACCTTTTTAACTACATAAATAGTATGCAAAAACACTATTGTGAGTATAATTTAAGTTTTAACTTAACAATAGGAATATTAAAAAGAAAAACATTTTTTGCAATATAAATAATGAAAGATATAGTATTACATACTAGGTAGAAAAGAAAATAATCTCGCAACAAATATTAGAAATATGTATATATGTACAAATCAATTTATATATATGTTCATATACATACATACATATGTACAGCTTTGTTTTCTCTCTTTTTTTTTTGCAAATTGGCGTAGTAAGGAAGCGATACGAAAGCCTCGGCTATGCGTGCGTATGTTATTAAGATTTTTTTTAATTTTGCAGTTTTAGTAATACAGGTTCTCTCCAGCAAGTTTAAAAATATATATTGCATACAAATTTTTCACAAAAAAAGTAATTTTGAAACTTTTTAACTTTTTCATTATTTGGATTTTTTTTTTTTAATTTTGAAAAATTATTTTTTTAATTTTCGAAAAATTTTAATAATACAGGTTTTCCCTGGTATGTTTTAAAAGGGAAACAAAAACAACTAAAAATTTGTTTGAAAATAATTTTGAAACTGTTTAATCTTCTATCATTTGATATTTAACTAAAAAACAACCATTGGAAAAACTAAAAAAAAAACGTAACCAAATTAGATTTTAAAATGCATCGGTTTCTGAGCTTTAAATTTTTGCAATATGTATTCAAAAATTATTGCGTTTTTATAATTGTGATTTATTTATTATCAGTATTCATGCGTATATGTATGAAGGTAAAACTTTCGATAATTTCAAAAATAAATAAAGAGTTTAAGATGGAAATGTTAATGAAAAAATTACTTTAAAAATGTTTAGATTTAAGGCGGCGTATTCATAGTCAAGATTAAGTCGACACTTAAGTTAGTTCGCATCCTTTTGACATAATTTTCAAACCCAATTTTCTATGATAATGTCTGTAAAAAATGCTGCTACTAAATTTATCATAATACTTTATTTCGACTATGAATATGCCCAAATTTCGTTTGGTATATTCTTCCTAAAAGAGGAACAATAAAAAAAATCAAACCAAAATGAAAATTAAATGTTTTTTTGAAATTTTTTAAGTCAAAAAATATTTATTTGCCATTTTTAAATATTTTGAAAATTTTCGAAAAATAATAGTTGCAATTAAAAAAAAAAATATTAATTTAGCGAATTTTTGTATTTCGACTATGAACATGCCCCAATTTCTTTTCTTTTATATTCTTCTTAAAAAATGTAAAAAAAAATTCATACCAAAATGAAATTTGAAATTTTTTAAGATATAACGAAAAATTATTTATTTGCAATTTTCAAATATTTTGAAGTTTTTCGAAACTTAATACCCATATTTTTTTGAAATGTTAACTGCGATTTAAAAAAAAATATGAATTTAGCGAATTGGTCAAGCGTAGACACATGTGAGCCGCGGTTTCGAAATTTTTCGAAGAAAATTTGGAAATTGAAATAATTGTACTTTTAATTAAAAAACTCTTAAAATCGCACAATTTTGGCTGTAATGAAAAATTTATCATTCGCAAATATTTATTAAATACATATATTGAAAGTTTTCGAAAATCCTAGGTTCGGAAAAATTTTTGTTTCAGTTGAAAAAATCTCAATTTCAGGTTTTCTGTTCAAGCGTGCAGATTTATGTTCGCACGGTGTGAAATTTTTAAAAATTTTGAAATTTTCGAACGCTCAATTTTTTTGATTAAACTTAAGTTTCAATTCACGAAACCTTACAGTTTTAGAAACTGAAATATTTTTCGAAAAAAATATTTTTATTTATTAGTGTCCCTCGAAAAAAACCTCGATTTCGCGCATTATTTTTATAAATTTTTTAATATGCTGAAAATTTCGAACATTAGATGCAAAAAAAAGAATTTGTTTTAATTATAAAAGAAACTGAATTTTTTATCCAAGTGTGCGCTCATTAGCCGCATTTCGGCTTTCGTCGCTCCCTTTGCCGGCCAATTGTCGACTGCGTTGTTTTTTTATATTTCATTAATTTTTGTTTTTGGTTGACTAGTGCGTTATTTTTTGTGAAAATGCGATTTTTAGCGTTTAATGTACACTTCAGTTCACATTTTAGTTTAACTATTATTACTTGCGGGGGATAACGAGGAGATGATTCCTAACTTTTTTCTAATACATATATGTACATACATTTATACAAACAAAGCGTTGTACATACTTGTATTCGCTTATATTTTTTTTTTTCGAAAAACCTTTAGGCTACTTCAGTTTGTATGTATTTACAAAAGTGCCAGAATGCACTTTAACCGCATTTACAATATTTGGTTTTGTATGTGTGTGTGTGTGTGTGACCCGATTGTGCATTGATGTTTACAATTTCATATTAAAAAAATATTTTAATTAAATAAATAAATGTTTTTTCTCTTCAATTCTTAATGCTATAACTAAATGTCATTCAAGCGTGCTTGAATGCACATTTGTGTGTGTGTATGTGTGTTTTATTTATTTATTTTTATTTTCAAAATTAATTCAGTCTTTGGTATTATCACAACATTTGTTTATACGATTTGGGGGTTTTATTTGCGTTCGATGCAAAATATTTGAATATGAAAAACAAGTAAAAAAGTAACGAAATCAAATGATAAATTAAACAAGAACTGTAACGAAAATATTTAGGTGCTTTAAACGTTAGAGTAATTGTTAAAAAAAAAAAAAAAACAAAATTAAATATAAAAAGGATTAACAAAAATGCGCAAAATAAATATATTTAGTAGGAGTAAAATTTGAAGTTTGCGATATTTGCTATTTTAACTTCCTAGCTGTTTGGTTAATTAACGCGCGCGCGGCACTAAATTCGAGCGTACTTTCATTTGAAATAATTTTTCCTTATTTTCTTCTGTGCTAACTGCATTTTTGTTAATCTCTCTTGCTTGCTCAGCCAAACTTTTTCACTAAAACTTTTTACGAGTTATTTTTTTTTGCATCCTCTTCGCTTAAATTGTCCATAATCGCAAACAGACTTTTTACGACACGCCCAAATCGTACAACAACTGCTGTGCCACAACTTCGCTACGCTCCTCTACCAGCTGCCCGGTCATCGTGTTGATCAGATTGAAAACGATAGCGAAGACAGTGAAGGCGCTATAGACGCCCAACGCCAGCCACCAAATAAGATTCTCATAAGCGCGATGTTCGAAATTCTTCAGCACCAGTAGGCCGATGGTGAAGCCCGCCAGCGCACCGGTCATATGAGCGACATATGAGACTGGTGGGGGATCGAGATTGGGCCAAGTGCGATCGATGTGTGTCGGCTTGATCGCCGCGTCGGCATCGAGATATTGTGAGTATAGCGCGTAACCCAGATCGCATGAAACTGCAAGAGAAGAGAGAAGAATAGAAAAAAGTGCGGAGATTAGCAGAAGTTTGTTTTGATTTGGGGTTCAGTTGCTTGAAGAAACTATATAGAAGTAAAAAAAAAAAAAAAAACTAATATGGGGCACACTAAAAAGCTTGTAGAATGAAATGTGCCCGTTGATTCAACTACACGCAACGCGTTAAGTAAACAAATCAAAAAAAGCTTACTTTGCTAGCTCTAATACCCATTGGCCCATTAGCTTCTTAGCCCCTTTATTAATTGTAAGTGAGAAAAAGAAAATTAGTTTTCTAAACTCACCAAATATCAACACCGACAACAATTGCGCCACCGCATAACGCATCTGCCTGTAATTGAGTGTTATGTTGGCCAAGTGTGCGGCAAGCATTGCGTATACGCCACCGCTGGCGCCCACCAAATACACCTCCGAGTCGACTACGCTGGTGCCCAGCGAACCGGCAAAAACGCCCGCACAGTAAATGATCGCCACACGCGCTGAACCGTGCATTACCTCCAGCGGGATGCCGTAGAAGAGTTGAATGACCACATTGAAGCCCAAATGAAACCAATTGGCATGTAGAAACATATAGGAGAGGAAACGCCACACTTGTAAACGACGATCGGGACGATAGATGAAAACCGAATCGGATGCGATGGGCATGTGTGGGATGAGTTGACGTGTCGTCGCCGTGCCCGGCACTGTGGCTGAGTCGTAAGCGAAAATTGCGATCTGTAAGGAGAAGAGAGCGAAGAGATAAAGAGGATTAGCATGTGTGTGTTATGAGTATTGATAAGACATTTATTACAGCTAAGATATGAATTTAGTTAGAGTCTATTTGTAAGTATAACACTAAAGTTTCAATAATACGAGTATAAGTTAATTTTTTATTTTAAGAATTGTACTGAAAGTAAAAAAGAAATCCTTAAAAAACTTTAAAAAGCAAAAACCGAAATTTTGGGATGCCGAAATCGGGCTTACGATCTCGAAATCCCGAAATTGATAAAACCCAAAATTTTGGGAAATCAATTTTAAGGTATTTCCTTAAATTCAAGCCCTGCATTTAATGATGTCAATAACGAAATTTCGGGATTCCGACATAATACTTAATCTATGTATCTCGAAATCCCGAAATTAGTAAGATTTTTTTTTTTAATTTTTAGTTTAAATTTAAATTTTTAAATTAAAGGAGGCCACTGCATTAAAAATATCTCAATACTTAAATTTGAGGTCTAAATTTATAAGAATTTCCCAAAAAAATATAATTCCTACAATAAACCAATCCCGAAATTATACCCAAAATATTCCGAACTTACAAAATTTATAGTATCCCTAAACTTCAGAGTCCTGATTTTTATGAATTTCCTTAAATTTTGAGTACTACATTGAACTACTAGAAATTATACTAAAAATATCGCAAAATACCGAAATACACATTCAGGTTCGTCTATTTTAGCATCCCCAAATTTTCTACCTCCCCTGCCAATTTTATGTCTTGCCAATGTTACTCGTATTTAAGCATTTTCCTGTCCTGCCAACAACCGCGCACAACTTTTTGCGTTGCTCATTACTCCTTCATAGTCTACGAATTTCACTGCTGATTAAAAAGTCAGCTAAAAGTCAAGTTTTTAAAACAACCATCAACTTGGCAAAGGAGCTAATATAAAAAGAGGGGATTATGGTTTTTGCAGGCAGAAGTTGAGGTGAAATTCATTTATAGAGTTCCTGTCCGCAGAAAATTCACATAAATTTTCTTCACATTGTGCGTTCACTTGTCACAAATGCGTGCAATGCAGTGAAGTAAATTGAAAATGCATGCTACGGTAGTAGAAAAAGAAAGGTATTCGGTGCCAAAAAAGCCAATACATAGTTCAGAAATGCAGCGTGACAACCAAGAAAGGCTATGCATTTTCAACGAAAAACATGTTTACTCGCAGAGACTGAGAATTATGAAAAATGAATAACTAAAAATTATAAAAAAAATTGTAGTCACCAGATTATATTTTTGTTTACTCTTTCTTGTCTTTGTAGTCTAATGCTTGTCAACCAAAAAGTTGTTTTCCACTTGTCGAGCGTGCAGCACAAACGAAGCGAAGTTGGTAGCGCAAGACAAATTGTTTATCCAAAAATTGCAGTAAAGTAGCAATGGGAATCTGCTTAAGATAGGGAAGCTCTGGTTTTCCAGAAGTGAAAGTGCGGAATTTTTGTGTTTTTTTTACAAAACATATTTAGCTTTACTGATAATGTTGATCATTAAAAAATGTCCGTGCCATTATGTTCACAAAAATGGTCATTATGTCTGTTTCCACATGACATTTTTGATCATTTCATTGCCTAGTGGAAATCTGGCATTAGTTTTCAAAAGTGATGTAATGCAGTATTTCCACAAGGCATTAATAAAATGAAAAAAGTTTTAATGACATAATTGGGAATTTCATCAAACATTTCAAAAATGTTTTCTATAATTAAAGGACCTTTGATTAGTATTCAAAATTGTTGTTATACCGCATTTCTACCAGGCATTAAATGACACAAGTTTTACTGACAAAATTGCGCATTAAAAAAATTTAAACTCGATCCCAAATAGTGTTTTTAAATCGCACAAATTCGTTGCTATTTCAATTCATATTGGAAATTCCGCATGCCAAATTTATATAAAAAAATTTAATAAGAGTTAGAAATGTTTTTTAATGTAACCCCAAAATTACTAAAAATTCAAATTCTTATGAAAATACTAGCATAAAAGATTTTTCTGAAGATAAATTTGTTTTTTTATATATGTGTTCAGCAAAAATATGTTTTTTTTTTTAACTTTATTAAATGTACTTTTTATTACTCAAAATAGAATATCAACTTTCTTACAAAAGTATTTTGAGTCTCTTGAAATCACATATAAAATTATTAATTTTCAGCCAACGACCAAAAAAATACCCAAATCTTAAACATTGAACCTAAAATTAACGGATTTTGAAAAACAGCTGCTATGTGAAAACGTGCCATAAGTAATTTGTAATCCGCCATGTGTAAAAGTAAAATATTGAAGTTAGTTTTTAAAAATATGTATACAAAATAAATTTATTAAATAAAATAATTTTCTTTTTATACATATTTTTAAAAATAATTTGTAACCCTTTAGCGTAGTAAGTTCCTCAAAAAAATCTTATAACAGATTCTTAAAAAAATAGTCATGTGAAAAGGAATTAAAGATTATATTTTAATCAGGCTGTGCAAAACTACGATTCAAAACAAAAACAAAAATTTCGAAAGATACTAAGAAGAAGAAAACCAATTTTAATCCATTACGTGTAAACGTAGCATAAAATAGATTTAAAAAAGTTAACAGAAGAACACATAGTTAAAAAAGTGAACCCATCTGTCTAAATAGCGCACATGTATTTAAAAAAAGATTTTAATTCATTAGGTGTAAACATAGTAAGATTTAAGAATAAATTGTAATCCACTGTGTGTAAAAATATCATTTAAATCCGGCAGTTAGAAAAAAATCTTTAAAAAAACTTTGTGATTCTTAAAAATCGAATGCCATGCTTTGATCTAAGTGTTAATGCAGTATTGGAAGATTTAAAAATAAAAATTTCAATTCACTTTTTCGAATGAAAATTTATAAGAAAAAAAAAAATTCATCCACTCAATGTAACGTAATGCGAGCCAGATCCTTATAATTAAAAAAATTCAAATATATAACGCACAATAGATTTTGGAAATGCTGTTTAATTTAATTCTAGAAAATAAATATAAAATTTGAAAAACTAAATATTTTGTCTACTTAGTGTGAACGCAGTATTAGGAAGTTTCAAAAAGTAACCTTTATTTTATGAAGTATTTAAAAAAAAGCTTTAGAAACTTTAAAGCTCTCCTTATGGTATAAGAATTATACAAAAACTTAGCACCGTAAAGGCTGGTAAAAACTCACAGTACCTTTTCTATTTTCATAACAACGACGCTTGGAATTTCGTGTGTGCATGCAGACTAATAAAATTACTTTTGTGGTTGCGGCAAAAATTTTCGTTTGAATAAAAACGCTAGTTGCCGGGGTGCTTTTTGCTATCAAAAAGGAACCGAATGCTAAGGACTAACAAAAACTGCCAAAATACAGTGCTGTTCATTAAAGAGAGTACAAGCCATATGTACTTGGCATGGCAAATATGTATGTATGTAAATGTAAATTCGTATGCTATGTATAAAACATTCTTCGCTACAAAAATCCTTGCAAAACTCGAATGAATGAATTGTAGGGGCGATACATAAGCTAATGCAAACCTTTTCCTATGTTCTGCACATGTAAGCCGCAAAAATTTTGGAGAACAAAAAACTAGATGGACATGCAGCTGTAGTTATTTTGCAAAAAAATAGAAATTGAAAATAAAAAAGCACTCACTTAAAAAACGACAGCAATAAGAATCGAGTCAAATAAAAACTATGAGAGTGGCCAATCTATTAGGACAAACAAAAAAGCAAAACAATAAAACTAAAAAACCTTCAAAAAAAAAAAAAAGTGTATGCAATTTTTTATGTCCCCTTGCTTTTTACTGCCATTCGCCGCTCCCTTTGGCTGAGTCACAATTGTGTGTTTGCATTTTTAGCTTTTTTTCCTTTCTCTCACTCAATATCCTAGTATCCCTTTTGTTTTTGCTCGCCCATGCTGTCATGCATACAATTTTCCTGCTACTTCGAAATTTTTGATTTTGGCATATTTTGAAAGGTCCTTTCCGCCTTGTCTACATTCATTGTTCGCATAGCAAAATATATGTAGCAATAAAAACACAAAAACAAAAAAAACTTTTGTTGCCGAGTGAATTGTGAAAATAGAAAAGTTTTCGGAAGTACAGTAAAATAAAATTAAAAATGGCAGCGCATAAATTGCACAGAAAAAGGTAGCATAGTTTATACATAGATAAAAAGGCGGCAAGGCGCGTGAGAAACACATACACGCAGAATCAAGCTCGGAACACTTTGACGACAGCAAGCGACAAGCAGCATCTGTCAAATTTTAAATACACACGTTCTTACGGACACAATTATTTTGACGACAGCACGACATCTTGGCTGCAGGACTGCAATTGTCGACGTCGCCAAATTAAATCTATTTCTAATTTTGCCGGCGACAATGAGTAGATGTAGTGCTGCAAAATTAAATTGTCGCAAAATTAATCACATATTCTTGATTGTTCATGTTTTTCTTATTTACTTAAATAAAAATACACAATTTGTGAAATAAATATACCAAAATGTCAAACTTTAAAATCAGCTGTTTGCTATGTCGCTGAGGTCTTCAAAATGTTTAAGAAGCTGGCTTCAAGGCGACATTTGTCGACAAAATGATGTCGCTGTCGTTACGTCGTGAAGTTGCAGTCGTCAAAGTGTTCCGAGCTTTAAGCTCACTAGACGGCAGGAAGTGTGAGTGTTTTTTTTTTGCATACATCCAATGCCACTTTTGTGACATAGACCAGCTAGTTGGGCACACGAGGAGAGTACATATTTTCAAAAACGTCCTCATCGTAATCGTTGGTGATTTGCTTTTTTCAATTCGTTATGGAATCGCAACTTTGTCTAGCCTTAGATATATAGCGCTACCAGTTAAATGCATACATACATATGTATGTATGTATTTTGTTGTTGTATTTTTTGTAGTTATATTTTTAGTAGTTGTAGCAGTGACATAGCAATCGTAGTAACTAGTTCAAAGTTTATGCGACTAGCAGTGAACAATTGGA